ACACAGGTCCTTGGAACTTCTGCTAATTGTATAGTAAAGCAGCATGAAAAGATATAATTGAAAGTTAACCGAGGATCTAACCAGGCAGGCTGGGTCGTGAGAGAGTAGCAGGTATTCAATTACATTGGCAAATCCACCTGTACTACAGGCGCATAACCTAATGGCCATAAGCTCCCATTCTAAGCTTTGGTCGACCAGGGGTTGATCTGCTTAGGGTGACAATGACCTAAATATATCTCAATGGGCTGTCGACCTCCTCGCATTATCAAACGCGGGGCATTATTTGCTCCACGGAACACCCCAGCTGTTTTGTTAAACCACCCTCTGAATATATTAAAATATTATTGAGGCATGTAGTCTGGCCAGAGGCAATCTGGCCAGAGATGTTGCCCATCTGAGTCGGATAGGGTTTGCGTGATTGGCCAAGTGTCAAAGTCTGACCACCCTCCAGAGGGCGTCTGGCTGACCTTCTCATCAGCAGAGACACCCTCTGCGATCTCAGTGCAGTCGCAGCAGGATTCAACAAAAACCTGGCTGTTGTTACCACATCTGGAGAGCTTCTAGCCTCTCCCTGCAGAGCAGCTTTGATGTCAACAAATATGATCATTCTCTTGCTAATTTTAGATTAAGGACAATTGAACTATGCAAGAGTCACATTGGGATGTGCATGAAGCTGTGTGAGTGCCAGGGGAGCCATCCAATGTCGGGTCATGATTTTAAACCTTTATATTTAAAAAAGAGGACCTTAATCTTTATGAATATGCACTCTTCACAATCCTCTCACTGTCTCTCTGGCCTCTGGTTAATCTGCTCTGGCTGACAAGGCCAGCGACGGCCTGGGGTCTGCAGCCACAGGGACTTGGGGAGAAATGTCAAGCTCCCTCCACATCTCTAGAGGAGCTCCTCAGGGGACCCTGATGCAAATATCACTGCCCCGCCAGCACAGCATGGTTTGACTCATAAAGAACGGGTCAGCCAACTATCTAATAAACAAATATAGCTCTATTTTCCTGGAATCAAAACTATAATAACATTGGTTTTAATGATTACATTGGACAAAAATCTAATCTCTTATGTATTGTTGATTTGGTTTTCAAAAGAAGAGGAGTCGAAAGTCACATGAGAGGGGGATTGATTTTCAGTAGCTTGAGACTGAGTATGTTTTCAAACTCATGTTGTCCAACACACTTCCCATGTTCCCTTCAATTTTACTACAGTATACCATCTATGGGAGAGCATCTATGAGTCACCCATATGGACTTGAGAGTGTGCCTGAAGCAAACGAGCAGACAGGTAGCTCCAACAATTTTAAAAGCATTAACATTAACAGCATTCTGATCAACAGAATAATAAAAAAATAGCCATTCAAAGATTACCAAAATAACTTTTTCTTTTCATTCTGCGGTTGGATTTCTATAAGTGAAATCCAAAATGGCTACTCAAAGTGCTGAGGACATGAAAAGATGGCAGTCTATGTGGCTTGAGCACGCAGGCCTTTTTCTCATCAGCATAAGTCCTGCATGGCTGCTGAATGAGCTTTAAAACCAAAAGGGCTGTAGAAAACGCTAACAATAGCTTACGAGAGTCTTGGTATTGAAACAAGGGAAAGTAATTTCCTTTTTTCTGCCCTCCTACAAACACACATAGTTTGACCTGTAAGTAAAACAAACCCAGCTTAAAGTGGCTGGGTATATTTTTACAAGTAGTTCAAGAAGTCAGGAGGAGTACAAAATGTGGCCAAATGTAACTATCACTTGAGCCCTCGTACTCTAACATGGGCAACAGAGCCTTAGGTTGGGATTTGTAAGCCAGTGCAGATGTGTGCCAATTTGGCAATAAAAGAGAATGCTCTCTTGAGAAAATATTTGGCCAAGACCAGAGGGTCGACCCAGCCCAAGTGTGGGATTGGAGAGTTCAGCCGTATACTGCGTTCCTGCAGAGACATTTACCTGGAAAGAACTCAAGATTCTTTCAGGCCCTCTCAGATTTCGCTTCACTTTCCAAGGGTATTCTTGGATAGCAAAGCTGCCATTGTATTCTAAAGTTTGACTGTTCACCGTTGACAAGAGTGTATTTTCGGAGGATTGTGTTTGCTATATGTCCCAGCAAGAACACAAAAGAAATACTGTAGACTGTGACTGAAAATAAATAATTGTCTTGAATTCAAGCAGAGTTCAATTATTTCCCCAAAGCCTGCTGTCTTGCAACACAGCAGAGAGAAAACCCGTGATGTGACAGAAAGCATTTGCAATGTAACATTTGGAGAAAAATTGTTAGGGAAAAGTGCATAAGGCATCTTCTACTCCAAGGTAACCTTGTACAAGGTACTTTTGACAACAGGTGGTCCAGTAAAGCTGCTAAGACATTGTAGAAAAGGTGGTTGAACTAGGCAGTACAGTTATAATGCAGATGAACATTAATCTGAGGCAGGATGCTGTCATAAAAGACATGCTCAGCAGCTTTTCCCCATTTAAATCAAAACTGTGCTGCTTAAAGGTGGGCTGTAATACCTAACCAGCGTCCAAATATGTGCTGGTGCTTGTCCTTGATTTGCCTTTCTAAGTTCCAGTGTGGGGGGTGAAAGACGATAACGTTGGCATAAGGAGTGTAGGCGAAACAAAAGTAGAAGTTGAGCATAAATAGAAACAGAACATAGGGAACAAGTGGCAAAAGAGGACAAGGGTGAGGGGAGCGCAGAGGATGCATGCATTTTGGAAAGTAGTATGCCATCTGCTTCAAGGAGAGTGGGTGGGCTTTTTCTGCTTTGCAAGACACTTACCAAAGGATTCTGAAAATGAAGGGGAAGAACAACATAGTTCATTTTAGGTTGAGGTTAAAAGGGATTGTCATGCAAGAATGTAAGGGACCACAGTTTAGTTGGGTCTTTTTTCCCCATCTAATGCTAGCAGTTTTATCATGAGTTACCATGAGAGGAGCATTGCATTTTCAAGTCATGTAACATGGATTCTATTTGCAATTTATAGTGATTATAAAGGAAGTTATTGTACACATTTTTGGTGTCAATTTTAATTAAAAAAGTTTAGTCCTATGTTTCAGTTTATTTTATTGGCTGGTTATGGCTCTCAGCCACATGAAACGTGTTGAAGACTCTGCAATGTGAAACACATCTGAGTTTCATACACAAATACAGACAACATACATGTAGATAGAGACAACCAAACATCAGTGTGTTTCGGTTAGACAGGACATACAAAGACAATTGACAAAATCATGACAGAGACAGATGATAGAGAGGTTAGAACACAGACAAGAAGATACAATCATTCGTGTTATCATCCCCAGAGGCTTAAAACGCACAACATCCTGTTAAAATGTTAACAGGTAACCCAAAGAGCCGGCCTTACATATGACTATTTCAAACCTAAAGAAAGTAACATGAGGTACATTCCTACCACCTATTTATCTAAAATGAAATAATAAAAAAAAAACCTGAATGTAAAATATTCAATGCTGTTATTACAACCTAATTACGATTACCTGCCAGAGCATCTGAAACGTTAAAGCTACCATGTCGAGTTTTTGACCACTAGTTGTGCTACAGAGCAAACATTTCAAATTAGAAACAATCTTGTTTGATTTACATGGCAAAAAATGGCACTAACATGTTAGTTAGACCTTAAGGATCCACTTAATATGTTTGTTAAAAAGAAGCTGTGTTAAAAACGTTTGGTTAGTTTACAAGAAGACCCCTGTGCACCATCAATTTCTAAGAAGAAGTCTGGCACTGCAATAAGAACAGATTAGGGGACAACATTTACATTAGAACTCTCTTCCCAAGAGTCCCTTGTGGACGCTCTTTGTCCTCAAACTAAAGTCTACGGCACTAGCTGACAGCATTCTCCAAAGCACCTTAGTGAAGAGCTTACATCCGCAGAGGAGTTCCTCGGGCCAATATGAACCGAGAAACAATGTTTTCAGAGACAGCAAATACCCTAAATCTGTGCACTAAAAATAAAACGTATCTAAAATAAAATCATCTATGGACTAGGCAAGACATAAATAATGAGATGACAAATTGATTATTTTGAGTGTACAGCTCATGGGGTCCACAACTGGGGCAGGGACTCAATGGCAATAGACTCTTTATGTAATGCTGTCTACACTGATTTACGTTCCAAGCAACAAATGAAATAGGAGTCATTGGATTTTTCAAATGGTAACAAATCATCGACCTAAAATATCTACCCCTTATTGCCCACGGCTACTCCAGGGCTTGCACTTAATTAGCAATATAATTAGGGCTTGCTTTACTGGGCCTCTCACTGGGGTTAAATCAATGGGAAAAGGACAACATATACACCACTGAGTTGTGTCAGTAGAATATTGGCTTTGCTCTCATTGTCTACTATGACACATTTCTGTCTTGTTGTGAAGTATTTTACCTAAATCAGTGATATTTGGTGACATTTTGAACCTCAATTTCAACAACAGATGTATTGATATGATTCATGGTCAGAGTATAATGGCCACAATCATGCTTCTCACGTTGTCATCTACAAAATAGAGCTTGCCCCCATGAGCTGATTTTTAAATGCTTTAAATATAGTTGAACAGCTTTTTTTTTTTGTTCAACATCAGACAGAGTTTGATCTGCACTTTTGGTAAATTCAGTTCTTCAACATGATTTTTTTAATATATATGATGATTCTCAGATCTCTTGTACTGCAACCTTACTCAGATCTGTTTGATAATCAACCTAAAAAAAACAAAGGATAGTTTTTCTTGAGCTCAAGTCAGGTCCACCTCAAAATGATATGGTTTCACTTTGTGCAGTACATAAGTACATTTGTTAAAAATGTAAAAGTACTTTCAGTGACACTTCTGTACTTTTCGAATAATGTTTGTTCAAAAACACTGGGCACTGGAGTCACATTAGCTGCAAGCACAAAACAACAACTAAAATGTCCTGTGTAATCAAAGAAGAGCTCAAGCTCGTAAGAAGGGAAAAAGACATCAACACAATGCTCGGGATTCCTTACCTGATCTCAGCTGTTTGATTCGCCCATTACTCGCACTTGGGTCAATGGGTAGGAAGTCTTTGTACCAGGTGATTTCAGGGTCAGGGTTGCCACTGGCAGCACAGAGCATGGTGGCTGTTCGAGTGCGCTCCACCACTTTAAGTTGAGGACCCATGTCAATGTTAGGGAAGCCTGGTGGGAGTAGGTCCTCTGTAAAAAGAAGCAAAGAAGAGGGATAAGCCATCTGACTTGCAAATCCAGGTGTTTTGATTAAAACACAGTTGTCATTCAAAGTATTTGTTATCATTGTATACACATTTTCATTTTTGATAGAACTGAGGGCTGTAACACATAATAGCGATTGAACTAAAATAAGACCCAGTCAATTATAAAACTGAAATGATACTGAGCATTTTTTTTTTTACTTCTACCTGGGAGAAGGAGACATTTGGAATTGCATATTTTGACTAATGAGACAAATGCACCTCAGAAATGAGAGATTATAGCCAGCCATGTACAGTAGCCAGATACATTAATAAACCAATTGAGATAAGACTTATATGAATATGTTTTATTTCATTCTTTTCATTATGAGTCTGAATGTACCAGAGGGCTGCACTGGGGGCATCGGAGAGGTCGAAGAACAAAGGCCAGGATAAGGTTTGTGTTTTTGTTATATTCCTCTTTCTCAGAAAATTAATGAGCTTTCTAATGGTTAGATAAATCATCCTGTAGCCATTATCTACTAACCACTGCATTTCTAATACCAACGATCTTGTCCATTAATAATCATGTGTCTTAATCAAATGTCCTAGAGGACACTGACTCCCTGCACATATTTCCATTACAACAAGTAGTAAATACATGTCTTAAAATGAAACACAGATCAGAGGAAGAGAAAATTAATGAATAGAAATACCAGAAGCAAAGCTTGGTAATCCCAGCAATTTCTTCATCACGTTTCCCCATGTTCAGGAAAATAAAGGACCATCATTTCAATTTGAGGTTACACAGAGCTCTGTAAAACCACCACTTGGTTAAGACACACTATAACCATCGAAAGCCTAGGACTGAATACCAATCGGGTGAATTTCGCTCGGCATTAAATGCGTAAGGCTTTGGAATAATGGTAAGATTTAAGCCTCTTTGACTTTCTTTATTGCTACACTCATTCCAGAACCATCACACCGGCAAAGATAGAGATATCATTGCAGCTAATATTCATGCATGATTGAGCAATTATTTGACTGTTAAGAGTCGACAGTGTAGTTTGCTCTGTGGTCACTGTTCTTCTAATGTAGACTTCTTACTTTCCTGGGGCAATTAGTCCCATGGGTCAGATCGCTTGACATATACCCTGACTCGAGCCAGAACAGTGACTCATACTTATAGAAGATGAGAGACGGGAGGAGGGACACTCAGAGCTGTAATATGCATCAGAGGCCCAGGGCCACATCACAAATTGGAGAAGATTGAGTGACTAAGAGGCTGGCCAATGGCAAGGCAGAGGTCACTGTTCATTTTGAGAGCCTTTGAGCTCATGTCCACTCAGAACAGAAGACATCATGGTGGTGTCATCCAGAGCTGGGGAAAGCCACATTATGGGACATTGGTACACACTAAGTTGAGTCGCATAACCTTAGACGCATGGTTAGTCTGTCGGCCTTTCATGAACACAGAGAGCTATTCCATATTTCAGTTAGCACTTTATACAAATAAGAATTTAAGGAAGGACATCATGATGGTTAAAATATATTTAATCCATCATGTTTTGCTAAACAATGAGTCATTTTGAATGATGGCAGCAATGTTTTTAATATTCAAAGAATGGCAAAATTGAAACAATGGATACAACATATATATATTGACATAGTTCAAATTCAAGAATTGCCCATAAGGTATTTTGTTATCTTTTATTTTTCTGTCACCAAAAGAAAAACCTTTTTTTTTTAAAGCATAAACTTTGCACATTACAGGCAGTTGGGTTGTGACTGGTGAGTTCATGCAAGTTTAGTTTTTGACATTGTTAATCTTTTAAATAAATGTCATATGGGACAACAGAGGAAGGAACAAGAGGGTCTAAAAAAAAACAGGTTTCTAACTTAAGATGACAACAGCAGAGCACAATGAATATTTCAATGCTAAGTTCACAGAGGAACAGGCGTTTACACTGTTGTAGGCTCTGTGCTGTATCCTCTTCATGGATTATTAATGGTCATCCCTGTATCATCTCTGTATACCAAGTTACCCTGAAGCCTAAGAAGCAAGCCAACACTTCACTTTAGGAGTTTCAGAACAAGAAAGAGCAATATGTACTCACAAATTCCTATTCATGTCATCAATGATCGATGTACAAGATGCCATAAAAGGTGCCGCACTCCTGTATCCCTTTAGCTACTTCTGTCTGTTAAAAGGGATTCTGGGCTGCTCTTCGGGGCGTTCAATCTGATGTGTTCTATGTCAGAGAGGCCTATCTGTACTCTGCGTGTCATAAACTCTGCCTTTATTGTATGAATAAGGTAGATAGAGGCCTGAACAGACTACATTAATGAAGCTAGAAAACATTAACAGAGTAAGTGGATTTGAGTCTAATGAAATAAGGCAATTGACAGAGGGAATCTGCCACAAGGAATTAGGGGCGGGGGGGACAGGAAAAGGTGGGCGAACAAACAAACCAACCAAATCAGCAGTAAACAAGAAGCAGGGATGGTGGATTCATGGAGAGATGATGCTATCATTACAGCTGCTCTTACCTGATACAGCACCGAAAGCCATTCCTGAATAAATTGCATGTATGCTGGTTGCTTGCTTCCCCAGGAATAGAATCTGATACCATCTTTCCCCCTGAAGCTTACAGGCTATGTCGATAAAGGCGGCCATGCAAAAATAAATAGATCACTCATCGAAGGAGTGTTACTTCAGGGTTAGCCAGCCTGAATGTGAAGGGGAGAACCAATGACATGGGCTGATAGTATCCTAGAATCCCCAAAGGGCCAGCAATATGCCATAATGGCTCAGCAATTGCATTTCTATGATGTGTAATAGGGGTTCTCTGTGATGACAAATCTTCACAGGCCAAATAGAATTCACACGTGTAAACTATTGGTCAATGACAACGTCGCTGTTTATTTTGCCTGAAGCAGCCTTTGTCACTTAGGCCAATAATCCTCCTAAGTACCACATCGACTTTGATTTTCTTTGTTTAATCTTAGACACTATAAATCACATTTAATTGTCTGTATCAAAGTATAAATGCAAAAGCAAAGATATTTACAAAGATAAAAGAACACCATTATTTTGATCACCTTCCTGATTGAAAGGATCTGATAACAAGAGTCAGTAATTAGGTTACAAAATACGTTTTTTGTTGCCACAAAGCCTTTTTGATGCATCCTATTGATTTTGAAATCCGTCAGTTGCATACTTGTCAGCACATGATGATTGACAGCTCAGTTTGGAACTCTACCCTACTACTATGTACAACACGTACGTACGCAGCAGTGACAAATGCCATCAAAAAGACAATTGAGTAGTAAATCAGATGAAAGATTATTTATCTGCACAAAACATGATCTCAACAATAAAGAATGCATATCCTCTTACAATAACTATTCAATAGGATTTGGACAGGTTTCAAAGATCACAACTAACGGAATGCAAATATTAATTATAGTCATTAAAGAGGGAAACATATCAAAAGTTACAGTACAGTCTACTCCACACAACAGCTGACTTGGTCCAAGGCTCATACAGGCTCTAGTTGATCTGATCTAGATTTTGACTTTTGTCATTCTCTTTGTTTGTTTTTTTGGTTGGCTTGAGTGCCATCATTATCCATAATTGTCTTTAATTTCGCCATTTAATACCATTACACAAGTGACAGGTGCAAAGCCTTTAATCAGCCTGTGGTTAGATTAGCGACTGCGCGGCTGTTAATCTGCACACTCATGCCTGCTGTTGGGTTCTGCTTTTTATCAGGCAAAGTGTGGCCCTCTTAAAAGGTCTGCCCTATAAACCCATTTAACTCTGCTGACAAATCCCGGACAATTCACTGCTACTAAACCAAAAAAATCTCTTTTGAGTAAATCTATGTCCAGGACAGTCGTAACTGTTCAGAGTTACATCACTATACATAAGGGTGTTGAGATGAAATGTGTCATCCAGTGCCTTTCTCTAGCCCCTGATCAATTGGTAGTCCTGAGTGCTGGTCAATATATTATACTGTAAATGGATCTTTATATACTGCACTTGTCATCCACATTCATCAAATGTCAAAATCTCTGACGGACTGGCTTCAAATGTGATTGTTCTGAGCCATCAATTACCTCATGGTGAGAGCTATAGTAAGAGAGAGGGAGGGAGAGAGAGAGAGAGAGGGAGGTAAAACCAGACTAAAGCAAATGCTGTGGGGTTCTCCACCGTCCCCTGCACCCATTACTCATATTATTATTTTCACTTACTGAAATGATTTAATTTCATCAGCAGTGTAATCAGGTTAACTGATTATCCAGCGCAACAGCATAGAGACACAGGCTTTAAGCAGGCCTGTGCGTTAATACCACAGAGGGACTGCAGGGGGGAGACGGGGTAAGGGCAAGGGAAGAGAGAAAGAGAGAGAGATACACAAGAAACAGATGTCCACCGAAAGAAAGAATGATAAATATAGTGAAGGTGGTTAAAGATTACAAATGGCATGCTATTTTTTCACACACAAGTAGATGTTTAACTAATTGGCAGACCCAGCTGCTGGAATACTAGACAACACAGTTTCATTTGCTCTGCGCCTATAACACAGACAGAAATGTTCCCATCAAACAGGCAGGCCAGGGAAAAGAGAAGTGTCTGTTTTTAATAGGGAGGCTCTGTGCTACACCTGAGTTTCAGCTGTATGTTGGGGAGACTACTTTCTAGAATTAATGTATGCATGAATGATCTATGCCACATCTTCTTTTTTTTCGGGATGCACCGAATATTCGGCCACCGAAAATTATCGGCCGAAAATGGTTAAAAAGGCCCTTTCGGTTTTAGCACCGAAAAAATATCACCCAATGTCAGAGAACAGGGTTACGTTGATCATACTCCGCATATTTGTCCGGGTGTTTTGATTTCAAGTGGTGGAGTAATCCCGAAGTGGTGAAAGTCTTTGCAGTGACACCCCCTCGAGAAATGTCAGCTGAACACGTTTTACAAATCGCAATCCGCGCCTCTTTCTCTGATATTTTGAAATATCTCCAAGCGGCAGACATGTTGGCTGTGAGCCAGCCGCGAGCATGGTCGCGCGCCGTGCTTGTCGCCGCGTTTTGATTACGTCATCACAACAACACGTTAGGTTACCAAACTTATAGGTGCATTTGTTGTTGTTGAAGGCCTGGCTGTTACAGTCTTTATTTACACTATTTTGTTGTAGGCCTACTGGCCTAGATGTTTATGCAGTTTTAAAGCACCTTGGCTTTGTTCTGAATGCACTTTGTTGTAGTTATCCTACAGAGAAAAGAAAATACACTTGACTTGGAA